TAGCGTTAATGAAGATTCTTATAACGAAGTCCTGATCGGCTGGATCGGCAACTTCGTTATATCGAGGTGTGACTGTAAATTACAATTTAAATATTTAATATATATTAACTTTATATTAAATTTATTAAATAAATTATTTTTTTTTTTTTAAGTATTATAAATTTATTTTATTAATATATATAGATTTTTTATGAATTTGAAATGTTTAGTTATTAGTAAATAACATATTATTTAATTTTAAAATACTATTTATAATTTAATTATAAAATAAAATATTAATTATAGATAAATTTATAAATTATATTAATATGTTTTATTTTATTTTATTAAGACTTTTAAAGCAAATTTTAAGAAGTTTCATATTTTTTAAAATTAACTAATATAATTAAAAACATATTATTATAAAAATAAGTAAATAATATTGTAAATTATTTTTAAGGTTAATATTAAATTTAATTGAGTATTATTATTTTATAATAAAATTTAATAATAATAATTAAAATAATTTATATATACTTTAGATATAAATTCTATGAAGCTTAAGTTGTGAATTATTTATAAAAAAAAACTTCTATTAGTTATATTTCTATTTTTATTCTTAAAAAATTTAAGTAATATTATAATCCAAATAATTACATCTAAAAGAAAATAGCAAAAAGAAATATCAAAATATTAACTTGTATTTGTATAATTAAAAAAGTAGGAAATAATAATAAGAAAATACTAAAATAGTTTTTTTCTTTTATTTATATAATAAATAATGTTTATTTAAAATAACTATATTATATATTGGTCAATCAGTCAAAACGTTGGTAAGAAAAGAAAAATAACCCCAGATAAAAATAAATAATCCTAGGTGGCCACTCAATTGATTATACTTGAAGACCACTTTTCATTGAATATACATATAATAAGAAAAAGTTGTGCAATGGGCTTAAGTGCTTCAAGTAAATTGCAAATGAGCACTTATCACTATTTACTACCCCTTTCCAAATACAATTCTCAAACTTTTCACATGGAATTCCTGAAACGACGTAGTTGTTTTCAATAGTCCATTTTTCGATTTTTCGATATTTAAATGAAATATCATAACAGAACCTTTGAGCGTAAAAAATGATTTGTCCATTTATTTGTTTTATTCGGTTGATTTGTCGAATATCGATCATGCCTATACCTCAAAGGTAATATTTGATGAACACTTTAAATTATTTGAATTTTTAAGAACGTTTCTGAAACCACATGTATATATTGTGCTTGAAACGACAAAAATCTCCATTCGGAAGTAGTTGCAAAAAATGACCATTGGTCAAATAAGGTTTTATCGCAACGTCTTCCAGAGTCCCCATATCTCGGATCGTTAAATTCGAGTACCGTAATAAATATTCTCGTAACCCAAAATCAATAATTTATTATTTAATAAACCTAGTAACGAGATGGCTTGATAATTTACAACCATTTTACACTTGCATTGTGTTTCTTTTTTGATAATATTATTTCTATGTCAATGGTCCACATAACTAAGGATTCATCATCTTCATTATATTTCATATTCGGTGAAAATATAATATCCGTAATTTCTTTATGAATATAATTTTCAATGTCCTTGAAAGGAAATTTTCGTAATCAATTTGATCTTGAGTATTAAGCATATTCCGAAATAACGATGTTGATTTAACGTAAGGTCGTAGGAGAGTCTATTCAAAGAATTTTTATATATTCGCCCAGAATTTTTAGCGTAACACATTTTTGTCAATCATAGTCGAATTCTAAAAAAAAGTTTACGAAAAATTATCTTTAATAAACAGGCATAGGGAGGTTGAAATATTTATCAAAATTTCATTTGCCATGGAAGTCGTTGTGTATCCATCTAAAAATAATCTTTTAATTGAAAGCGGTACAGTTGAGTTGGGTCACCTTTGAGAAAGTAGAATGAAGAAACCTTGAAGGATGAACTCTGAATGAGGAATTGATTATGCATCTTCCTTCGTAAAAATCATAGAACTTATAAATTCAAGTATTCGTTTACTCTCTCTGAGAGTGATCTCATTCTTTCTGTAAACATCCTTCTCTGATTCCGATACCTTCCATGACCCTGAAAGTTTAAACGTCGTAATTCATTCACTGTTCAATAATAAGGTTACACAATCGGTTTCTAAAGTTTAGTAGTCAACTTTTATGAAAATTTCCATATTTATAACCGTTATATACATGCGATATATATTTATTTATGTTTTTTTTTAAAAAAAAATAACGTTTTGTTAGTAAATTCCTCTCTGTGTTTGTTTGAATTCATAATTTTATTTGCTTGTTAACACCAGATGTGTCGAATGAAAAGAGGAACGGTTAAAAGTTTAAAATTTAAGAATGATGGTTTGAATTTATTCACGAAAAGACAGGAAAAATGAAAATGCAAGAGAAGACGTAACAATATAATCATAAAACAGTCGTCAAGTTTTGCCACAAAAGATGAAGGACCGACATAATGAAAATGTGAAATTTATTTTTAATGAACATTAGAATTTCGACGTAGAGTTATGGTCCATAAATTGAAAAGGCTCCAAAGAAGATTTTTTCTTCTCCTTATACTCATGTTAATCTTGTCTTTACTCACCAATCACCTCTTCTAGCTCAAATTAAATAAAAGAAGTAAATGCAGCAAAAGATAGCGAGTGGATATCGTGATGATGGCAACTCAATAAAAATACTTATCAAGAACTTAATTTTTTTTGTGATACCTTTCTCTTAAGATTTACGTGCCTGAAAGATTTCATATTAATGACCCAAATAGAAAGACAAAATAGTAAGTTTTAAAAAACTTAATAAAAATAAAAATACACAATCGTTTATGACTGAGATTACGTTTTGACTTCTGTCAATAAAAAATGAAAAAAATGGATTAAAAAGATAAATTTATTTATTAAAAAAAAAAAAAGAAAATACAAACACGATACATAAACACGTTACTTAAAAATGCAAATCTGAATAGGTAGAATTCGTTCTATCCAAAAAAGCATCTTCTTAGAAAATATCACAGTAAAATCCGGTATTAACCTAGCATCGAGCCAAAACTTCTCAAAGGTAAAGATTTAATGTAATTTCACAACGATAATTCCAATGTATAGTTATATATCCCAACACTGTTAGTTGAATTAAATCAAGTACTTCACGTCAAACTACAACCAACGTTATCCCCTCATTACCTAGACTACTGGAAGAAATAATAAAAACATAAAAAATGATAAAATTCAAATTACGAAAATAATCTTAGAAGCCGTTCCTACAAAAAAGGAAGAAAAAAAAACATTAGAAACGTTCTTTCTCAAAGAAGAATCCCACCCTATCAAAACCTACCTTCTAAGAGCCGATCCAAGAGAAATTCCATGGTCCAAAGGTTCTTATAAGCCGTTCCTACAAAAAAGAGAGAAAAAAGAAC